TTTTTTTTTTTTTTTTTGCCCTTTTCCAACTATATGAGCGAGGGCGTCTCTTTTAAATATTATCGAGCAAATGATGAAGCTAACTTGAATCTCGTAGCAGTTATAGTACATTTCAGCACTCCAAGGAGTTTAGTAAAGGAATACGTTATGAAGACTTACGTTATAGAGAGAGGAAAATTGAAGATTAAAATTTAACGTCATTTTTGGGTTTTCTTGCAGGATGCTGTAAACCTAACTTCAAAGCTACTTGAGAATGTGATTGAAATACAGAACAGTGGCTTGAAAACCAATATTCTAGTTAGCTGCGAAAAGTTGGAGAAGTTTGTTTTGCAGTACGCCAGTCTTCACATGACGTCACACAATGGCTCCGAGACGGAACTTTTCATGGTGCAGCAAGAGATAGGTAAGGCATTGAGAAAGCCATTACCATCTAGCTTTATTATTTTATTCTAAAATTTTATTCACTGAAATAACACAAATCCATAACTATTCAATATAAGATATATTCAATACAAGATTTCAAGGCGCATCAGTATGGAATTCCATCGATGAAGATATGTAAAATGTCTTTTCTTTCAACCGGCTGCATGGTATTTTTAATTTTTATTTCGGGTAGCGAAGCTAACACTGCTATTATTTTTGCTTTCACTCTATAACATTTTAATTTCTAACTCTGGGGTTAAATTAAAATGTTTAAAGTCTTTGTTGTTTGCTGTTAGAAAAGTGTTCGCCCTTCTTGGATTGTTTCTACCCAAGCGCTGCGCAATTCCATTCATAAAACCCTGCGGTTAAGACTGCACGTAATAATTGGGGATCCAACGCTATGGGTATAAAACGACCTTACTATGCAATTATACCGAATTAGTATGCTGCATATTTGTATGAACTCCCTGTGAAGTGTATCAAACTGTTTACGTTACTTTAATAATCAATGCATTTTTCCACATTTCATAGTATTCATTCTATATTTTCCAGGATGTTCTATTAATTTTAATTTTATAGTTCTTGTCCCCCTTTACCTTTTTTAAACGTCTGGTTTTATTTTGCTGTAGTATTTCGATTGATTTAAATATCTCTTCTTTTTTTTCGCTCGTCTGCCAGGCATGACAGTAATGAAACTACCTGCATATCATAAGCGTGATGTCATTTTTCCATCTGAAAGAAGTTCTTTTGACGAAAGTTTTATACAAGAGGAGAAGGGTGCCATGAGACTTCCCGCCAGCCTCTTCGCTGCTAGAGGTAACGAAAATTTATTGTTTATCCTTTTTAGGTTAATTGCACTTGATTACCTTAAATTTTGACTAACTCCTGGCCAATTCGCAAGAATAGGAAGTTAGGTGTCTTCAACAGACAGTCCATCTCATCAACTTGTTTGTTGTAGCAATTACTTGGTATAATAAGTATTTTGGAGAATGAAATATTTTTTTCCATGTTTATTCAATCTGTTTCAGAACGCTATGTGGTCTGTATGCTGTACAAAAATGCCGCCGAATTAATGCCCGAAGAGGAGAATGGGGTAGATAACGAGTAAGTATTTTTTTTTTTTCCCTTGCTGTTTTGTTTTGATATTTTCAATAACTGTGCGAACTCCTCACAGGAAACTGAAAATAACTATAAGGGCCAACTATAGCCCAGACCATATCCGACAGTATGTTGACTTTGTTGAAACGACATTGCAACGGCAAGTGAAATTAAGTCTGCTCCTATGAGTAAGGTCTTTCCTGATATTCAACATACTTTTTCTTAACATGGTGATCAAATGCGAGCTTTTTGCTTCTTTAGATTGGAAACAACTATTCGTTCCCGGATTATATCTTGCTCAATAACTCCAGAAATTCAAGGCATATTAAACGATGACGTGATAATCAAGGTTAAGAATAGAAAGGTACGTAACAGGAAGAAATTTAAAAAAAAGATACAATTCAATTTAGAGTCAACGAGGACTAGTTAGAAGATAGCAATGAACTTAGAATCTGAAAAACTGTCGGTTTTGTTCAAGGTTTTTAAGTCGTGCCCTTTAATTTGTCTTCATAAGGCGTTGTTCAGTTGTTCAAAAACGTAAATTATTGATTAGTTGAACGAAACAATTAATTTTTCAGTGGTATGAAGTTTTCAAGCAAAACATTTTTCTGCATTGTAGCCGATTGGACTGATTCCCACCAGAACATGAAGACGATTGTAAAAACTAAGTTGTTGCAGTAAATAATTTCTAGACGTCATTTCTACTCATTTTTGGGAGATATTATTGAAACTGAATGTCGACTCAGTTGTGTACTTAAAGTAGACAGTTGTAACCTTCTGGCTGCAATGCGAAATTGCAGGAAACGTCAAACACCGTGAAACATGTTAATGTCCTTTCTTCAGAGACAAACGACAGCCAAGAAATCGAGCTGTGCATTCTGGGACTTCTCTATCAGGTAGATAAATTTCCAGAAAATCTCATGCAACTTGTTAACAAATGCATTAGTTCCTTTTTGCTATTTTTCTCGTAATTATCATCAATCGTTTTTTACATGGTTGACTGATTGATTGACTGATTGATTGATTGACTGAATGATTATATACACGAATGATAGTACACGCATTTCAAACCCGAAAAAGGCAACAACTTCTGTCAACACAACTACTTCTCCCACTGAAAAGCCAACCTAAACATTACTTCTTTCTATCCTTCCCTTGGGAAGCGATCGTTTCCTACTCTTCGATCATCCATAATAAAATTTATTGACTGGGAAAGTACCTCCTTTGGTGTAATATCTCCTCTCAGACTACATATTAAGCATGCCTTATTAGGAAGTCCAGTGGTACTTCCGCTTCCTGTCGGCTTCCTCGCACATCTTCCCTCTTTCGCTACCAGGCTTCTTTCGAATTTTGATTTTGATAAATTTCCTTCTGCCTAGAACAAAGTTTGACGGAGCGTGGTCAAAAAAAGGTTGTACATTGGTCCAGGAAACAGAAGAACACACCACTTGCCAATGTAATCATTTGACAAATTTTGCTGTTTTAATGGAAGTGGGAGAAACGGAGGTAGGAAAGTCCAGACTTCACTTAATCTCATTTCGGTACGGTTAACCTAGCCTTGTCAGTTTGCAGCAAAATTTAAGTTTATAACTTTTTTTTAGATTCCAGATGGTCACAAGTTTGCCCTGGAGATGGTGACCTACATTGGATTTGCCCTGTCTCTAGTCGGCGAGATTCTTACCATACTAGTCTACTTGATTCTTATGTAAGTATCATCTTTTTCCCCTTTCAATTATCCTGTAGTATTTCAATAACGCGCTTTTTGAAATTAAAGGTATCACAAGAAGACAAACGTCTTTCCCATCGAGTTGGCGGTGAGTGCAACGCTAGAGCTCAAGGATAAACAATACTCACTGGAAGCTATCTGTTACATTGAAGAGTTTCCCTATAACACAGTCATACCAATCCTACCCAAAGGATTTCTCCCAGTTTTGATTCCGCTCATGTGAAAGAATTGCGGTGTTTATGGACACATTTTTCGACAAGCATCAAAAATGTGTACAGTTGTACAAATCAAAGGAAAACAAACACGAGGAGGAACGATTCTGTAATCGATAAAAAAACCTCCTTTTGAAGTGTTTTGAGTCACTTCTTGGCAGGTTTTCTTTAATAGGCTTTTGTTTTTGGACATTTCTGCTGAAAATTACGCGGAGAGTCTTGATTGTAACTTGCAAATGCTAAGACCCCTTATAAATTCTGAAGATCTTTTTCGTTTCTTTCCAAGGAACCTAAGAACTACGCAGTCTCATATTCGGCTAAATCTGGCCACCTCTCTGGCCATTGCCCAGTTGATATTTATGGCCGGTATCAATGCCACTTCGGTGAAGGTAATTTCGATCTAGTTGTTGTTGTTGTTGTTGTTGTTGTTGTTGTTGTTTTTTTTCCATACTTAATAATATACAACATATAATATAAAGTATTTAAATATTTCTTGGCATTTACCACTTATAATGATTGACTTTGTACATAGCACATGACTGAGAGGGGCCATAAATAATGGGAGAAATTTCATTCCAAACTTGCGAAAACTATAACCGCAAACGTTACAATGAGCCTTTTTTATTGTTTTGTTTGTTCAGTTGTTTCTTCATTGTTTCGTTGGTTATATCGAGCGTAAAGCTGCATGACTGTTTATTGTTTTGTATTTTTACTCATTCGACATTCTTTGTTGTCGTTAATTAATAGATATAATTATATTGAATTTATACATTAAATGTTTAGTTTGAAATTTTCCATTGCCTGAGTTCTCGAATATGATTTTACGAGAAAAAAGAGAAAATCAGCAAAATAAAAAGCTTACAGGAGACAGGAATTAATAACTTCTACAAGGTTTCTGAAGAGCAAAACATGAACCGACAGTGTCATTTTAATTTTTTCATGTTATTTGTTTTATTTCATATTCTTCTTTCAGGCTCTGTGCATTGCTGTTGCTATAACAGTGAACTATCTATACCTCGTTGCTTTTGGATGGATGGTTATGGAAGGAGTTATGTTGTATTTGAAAGTCGTTAAAGTCTTCAATATTTCCACAAACAACATGTGCTTTTATGGCTTCGCATGGGGTAATAAAATTAATACATAAAATCAATGCAGTAAAGAATAGACTTTACGTGCTGCTTTTATGTACATTGGCGCTGAGTTCGTTACGTCCTCGATTCGCTTCTGACGTTCGTAAGAGAAGTATCACTTACATCGTACTTGTTTACCAGCTTCTGTTCTCCGGCTACTAGTGTAGACAATTTCCCGTAAGGGAATAATTATAAGTTGGAGCGGTTTTACTATCCTTTCTTTTTCTCACAGTGTGACCTAGTGAACATACAAAACATTTTTGTTCTTGTTTCTATTGAAACTAAAAACCCTCGTAAAAGTTTGTGCTCACTCCAAAAAAGGGAACACTGTTCACACTTCACACAGCAAAAATCTCTTGTTCTCCCAAACTACTACTATTGTTCCTAGCTATAAGTCAAAAATCAGTCAATGAATGAAACTGTAAACGATATTGAAATATTTTCTTTGCGAAACTCAAACATCAGTCTAGAGACCCTCGTACATTTATTTTCATCACTGATTTCACGATACAGAGAAATTAATAATAACCTGCTGTACTTTATGTATTTTTCTTCAGGCGTTCCAACAATCGTGGTTGCAACTACCATTTGCACAAATGTTTTGGTTAACGGGGATATGAGCAGCAGCATGCGGGAAGACGTGTGAGTATGAATGGTCACGTGTTTCTTTCTACTCGCATGACGTCATGTTAAATTAAATAGAGCGAAAAATGCCAAGCTTCTCTTGGTACTGCATTCACTTGTCAAAACAGAATTGGCAACTATTTTCAAGAATCAGCTTAAAGGAGCTACGTCACGGTTAGGGCGTCTTGAAAAGTTTAGTCTAAATTTTTCAAGTTTGCCGTTTGTAATCCGTGTCAATCTTCTCCATCCTTAATTAACCATTCTTGTTCCTTTATGGTTTATTATTATCTCTTTGGTGTTTTTCCATTTTAGTAAACTTCTGTTTTCAGGTTTCCTTCAATTTAAAGGGAATTCAGTAGCGGCCAAACAAAAAAAAAAAAAGAAAAGAAAAAAGGGATATAACTCGCTTAATGGACACCGGCTGTAAGGGCTGCATCCTATGCTGCACATAATGCCCTTCAAGTCATTTATTTTTTTTATTGTATTAATATTAGTATTAGTATAGTTTTTTAGCAGTGTCCCCTAAGTAGTATGGTGTTTTTGTTCCCAGGCTATAAGGCTTTTTGACACTTTAGTAAAGTTCTCACTCGCTCACTCACGAAAAAAGAGAACCGCCGAGTACGGTGACTGAGCTCCTTTAACAGTACATTCTTCAACACGTTATGCCTGACGAGTAATTGTGTTTACAAAATTAATTTCATATGGATTGAAGTCTGATATGCAGTAACTGAACAAAAGCACTTGTTCACGCTTCTTTTATCTTTGAAGAAACCAAAACACATGAAAGTATCCCTCTAGTTATGCTTAATTCCTTTCTTTCGTTTTCATTTTTTTAAATTCTTTGTTATAGTTGCTGGTTCTCATTTTCGTCTGGTCTTGTATGGGCTTTTGTTGGATCTGTATTAGCTGCAAGCTTGGTAAGTTGAAAATTCTCTTCTTACAAAACGTCACGGACGTATCTTTGAAAATCTGAGAAGAAGGAAAACTATCGAACGCAGGGCTAGATTTAATAGCGTCATAACCAAGCTTGTTATCTTGCACAGCACCCTCCAGACTGTCTAGGAAGATCGTGGTTGCAGACCTGTCCGAGTATTAATCTGTTATTTTGATAATAGCCCAATCTGATCAGAGACGATCTTGATTCAAGCATTTTTTTTCTTTTAGGTAAACTTAGCCATACTCATACGTATCACAGTGGAAATAATGAGGCTAAAAGATATGTCTGGCAATTCGGAGAATCACTCATTCAGGCAAGTAGTTTAGCTCTGTTGTTGGCAGATGCTACAGTCTGCGAATGCTGTCGTATATTGTAGCGTCAAATCGATGGCTGGTTGACTACAGGCGTGTTTTGCCGTATCACGTGTTGTTTTCGTGAGATGCGCTGCACTTTTAGCAAGTCGTTAGTGCTGAAGAACGGGGCGAGTAAAATAAGCTGTGATAGTACACAAACTAACAGGCGGTTATCAACAGGTGTTTTGCATGCAATAACTGCGTTGTTGTGGTTATGGTTGTTTGAGCGGTTTTTAATTGAGTATCGTAAAACTAAACCCAAACCTATCACTCCAGTCGATTACCGTGAACGACACAGACAACCCAATGAACCAATCAAAACTCCAACTAAATACGTGTAGATGACTTAGAGCGCGGGAAAACGTGTGCAAGTGAGTCAAGATTGGTTGGTTTTGGTTTTACTTCTTATTGGATGACAAAGTGGCAGGAGTTTTTTAAGGGGTTTAGCGAAGCAAAGCAAAACCAATTACTTACAGACTCTCAAGCGAAAAGTTTAGTAAGCGCTCTGTTATTGATGATTGTGTAGCGATTGTTTAACTCTATTGTTTTTCGCCTTCATTTTCTAGGCAAAGCCTGAAGGCGTGTGTGGTGCTTTTCCCTTTGTTTGGTGTAACCTGGTTATTCGGTGTTCTCACCGTCACGGATGCAGGGCTGATCTTTCAATATTTATTCACAATTCTTAATTCTTTACAGGTAAAAAGAAAAGTCAAACGACAAAATAACATCATAAGAGAAAAAAACGTGGAAATTTCGATAAGATGCCACCGAAAATTCAACAAAATAAAATTCGCCAAAATTTACGGATGGTAGTGAACATTCGTGGCAGCGAAGTTTCGCGGCCATTTTGAGTATCAAAACAAAAGTTCGAAGAAAAGCAGAGGCGTGGAAAATTTATGGGGTACGCAGTTACATGGAAAGGCCACAGTGCCCAAGTAAATTTGATAAAGAAATTTTCAGGGCTTCTTAGCTTCTTCAACTTTAGAGCACTTGTCAAAATCGTCTATTACTCTCTTGCAGGGATTTCTCATCTTCATTTTCCACGTTGTCAGAAGTAAAGAAATCAGAGCGGCGCTGGAAGCAAGAAGACAAAGATGGGAAACGTCAAGAAATGTGTCAGTGGCGAATGAAAAATCCACTCTCGGCAAGGGAACATCGAGCACAATGAAACCGAAAAAAGCGTTTGTGGTAATGAACAAGATTAGCCCCGAGACCGTGATGAACAGCAAGAATAGCTTGCCTTCTGTTACATAAATTATCATGTACAAATTATTTGCATAAATTATCATGCTAAAACACACTGATTCTGAGAAACTTACGGATTTCGATAGCAAAGGCGAGTACGTTATGAACACAATTAATTCAGAAACGGTTGCACATCACCAGACTGATAAGCTAAATTGCCAGCTAGTCGATAAATTATCATTGGTAAGACTGAAAAGAATATCTTAATTACCAAAAGTTGCATAAATGGTTATAATGAATGAAACTATTGAATGAAAGCGTTTTCATCATATAATGAACTATCGCAAGGAATGAGACGTCAAAGAATAGTGATATTGCAATATTACTGTTAAAGATGATTTCCAGTCCGTGCTGCTCAGTCTCAGCACCCCAATGTTTGTGAGCCTCACTCGATGAAATGCGAATCGATTTTCTTCGTTACTTATACTGCTTACCTTATCTTTGCGGCATTTATATTCTTTTTTCCAACTGTTTCTTTGCTTTTTACAACAACGACGTTGTTTCATCAAGCGATGTCAGAGAGAACAAAGCATTGAGCTTTGCATCTATAATGGCGGTTGACATGAAACTTTGAGTTTAATTCCTGTAAGTTGTTACGAAATGTGACATTTTGTGACGCCTTACATGAAACGGAGAAAACAAAGTGAACAAACTCCCGAGGGTGCGCAGTGCGGACTGAAAAGCATCTTAAAGTGCATTTCATTCTTGCTTTTCAATCAGTGTTACAAAATTGAAAGAATTCACTACACGAAGATAGCGAAGGAAGCTAAAATTGTTATAGATTGATATCATCAGAGGCACAATCCACACACAGATTTAGCAGATATCTTAATGATTATTTTTAATCCTGAAATGTTTGAGAGTACCAGATACAGAATATCTCAAAATCACATAAATTATACTTGACCCAATAATTCACAAGATGAGATCTGACATTTTAAAACCACCAGCGTGATTGAAAAACATCATAATCCACTCAGGCGCATGTTTAACAAAACAGAACGATTTATATGTAGAAAAATGTAAATAAATGCGTTTGTTCTTTGTTGTTTAA